GCGCGTAAGAGGTACACTCAGTAAGAACAGAGGACAGACCGAGTCTGACAAGGAGGTGAAGGGAATAGTCAGGATGACAGCCATGTGTTGCCCTTCTGGCAATAGGTGAATGGCGTTATTATTCACCAGAAGAATGAATACAGATGAAAACGCAGGTTGTCTACACATGGCTGTGAATGGCTGTTCGGAGGTATGTAATCAGAAATAAGAAGAGGATCCTTTTGGTTCTGAGGATGCCAACTGCCACGCACCACGCACCTGGGGGTGTTTCCTGAGGAATGTCTGCATAAAGGTGGCCAGGAGACACACAGGAAAATGGCAGGAAAAGTTCTACCTTTGCAACAAGTCCCAGGTCAAAATAAAGTCTCAGCTAGTATCTTAGAAAAATAAAGATGAATATGGGGTGGAGAGTGGGGAAAGTTCCAAAAATGAACAAAATTATACATAAAAAATTAGTAAAAGGGAGAGGTAGCATTATTTTTAACACGAAAAGAATAGGTAATAAACACCTAAGATCAGTCTGCTGAAGAGAGTTTAATGAAGTGACTATAGGGTGTGAAGAGGATTAAGGGAAACAACAAGATGGTGAAGCAGCCAGTCAAAAAGAAGTCATCTCCATCCCCAGGCCTGGAGGGATGAGGGGTGGAAATGGCATCACCAGAGCCTGGTGAGGGCACAGACGGGAGAGGGACTGCCCAGCAGGTTCTGTGGACACAGCTAGGACACTGCCAAATGATGCCTGGCAGGAGGGGAGTAACCTTGATCTCATTCTTATCCCACCCTGCAATCTTACGCTGGTGCTTCTGCCAGTTCCAGCTAAAGCCAATCAATCAGAGCCACAAAGCAAGAGACGCCGGGAGGCAGCGCGTGTAAAGTCAGCCCTCCCGGGCACACAGCACAGCAGGAAAGAGGAGAGAACAGAGCTGGTGGAGTGAACACAGAATACCCAGAACACAAACGTTTTAAACAATTCTGAAGTACTTTAGACCCTATTACCTCAGATTTTGAAAGATAACGGACTTCAGGGAAGACATAAAACTTTAAAGATTGTTTATAAACTTAATTTTAAATGTAAAAACCTATATGGGCACCATAAGATCTAATAGGAATATCAAAATAAATGTTTTTATAAAGCAAAGTTATTTAACTAGTGCTTAGCACAAACAACTTATTATCGACAGTCCTATAAAACCTGAATTCCCCTGATCTACAAAGACAGTCAGTCAACCGCCACATTCACCACAAACGCTCTGTACCACTGAAAACTGGTCTCCTTACTGCCGGGATCACTTTTTGATCACTCCCACCTTCACAATTTGCTTGACCGTTCCTCCAAATCACCCATACTTCCCCTCTGCTTCATCTCCTTAATTATCAGTCATATTTCAAATTCCAGCTCAGCTATATAAGGTCTCTTCACCAACATTCCCAAATCACACCGGACTCCTCCATTCCGAAACTCTTTCCTATGGGTCTAAAGACAACAACAGCAAACAGTACACCTGCTCCTTCGACCTTTCCGCCCCACCGTATGCACAGCACACACTGAATATAAAGGACCTGCACCAGAAAAAAAAGAACAAAAACAATAGAAAGACACCTGCAATCTCAAGGAACCGGATAATTTCGGCAAAAAGATGGAAAGGTGTTAAAACTGAACTGGGGCCCCCAAAAATATGTTGGAATCCTAACCTGTATACCAGAGGATGTAATCCCCTTTGGGAATAGGGTTTTCTTTGTTATGTTAATGAGGCCCTATCCGTGAAGGGTGTCTTAAACCTAACCACTTTTGAGATATAAAAAAAAGCAGATTAGGCAAAGAGACAAGGAAGCAAGCAAAAGAGGGGAAAGATAGATGCCACGGGGAGACAGCCAAAAAACTAAGGAATTCCCAGAACACTGGAGAAGAGGAGACAAGAATTTTCCCCCAGAGCTGACAGAGAAAGAGCCTTCCCCTAAAGCCGGTGCCCTGATTTCAGACTTCTGACGAAACAGCTGGCAGTTCAAATCCACCAGCTGCTCTTTGGAAACCCTTTGGGGCAGTTCTACTCTGTCCTATAGGATCGCTGAGTCGGAACTGACCCGACAGCACATAGCAACAACAACAGCCTCCTAAACTGTAAGAAAATAAATTTCTATTAATTAAAGTCATCCACTTGTGGTATTTCTGTTACAGCAGGACTAAGAAACTGTAAGACAAATGAATACTGATCTGTATATGTTTTTCTATTTTGATTAATTACTAGTATTATACTATGACTGTTGTCTAACATTTTTGTAGAACATATATAATATTTCAATCAGCAAAATTATTCTTTGTGGACTAGCCCTAGGAAGCCACCAAAAACCAAAACCCGTTGCCATCGAGTTGATTCCAATTCACAGTGACCCTACGGGACTAAGCAGAACTGCCCCACAGGATATCCAACACTGCAGTCTTTACAGAAGCTGACTGCTACATCTTTCTCCTGCAGAGCAGGTGGTGGGTTCAAACCTCTGACCTTGTAGTTAGCAGCTGAGCACCTGAACAATGCACCATCAGGGCTCCTTCTAGGAAGCTAGTCACTCTTTAAAACATTGATTTTTAGGAATAAGCATTCAGAGTTTCAAAGAAAATTTTAGAAAACAAGTATTTTAAATTACAAACTTTGTATATTTGTTTTTTTTCAATGGCCAATATTACCTAATACAACAGCTTTACTGAATGAAATTTTCCCTTTTGAGATCCTGGTAAATCTGAAAGTCTTGGGAATATAATATCTGATAAACAAACTTCTAATTTTCAATGTACAGAAGTAGAAGTTGCTTTTCAAAATGGAGAAATATTTAAGAAAAGCAAGTGATACAGCAGTTTGAAACTATCTGCCTAGAAACGAATATACAAAAAAAGGTTTCTATTGCTTACTTTATAAATATAACCAAAGATGGAAAAGGCATACTTTATTAAAAGTAAACCAAACTGAACATTTTATAAGGAATCAAAATGGTCAGCACATAAATTTAAGCTTACATTTAAGACACAATCTATAAACTGAGAAGGAAACTGGAAAAAGAAACATGAGTTTACCAGTAGCAGCATTGGGCCCAACTCAGTAATCTCCTGTTTTTTATTGTTTTAATACTAACTTAGAGTCTCTGGCTGGTCGCAGTGGTTGAGCACTTGGCTACTAGCCGAAAGGTTGGTGGTTCGCGCTCCCCCAGAAGCACCGTGGAAGACAGGCCTGGCATGCTGCTTCTGAAAGGTCGCAGCCTGGAAAGCCCTATGGAATTCTGCTCTGCACACGCTGAGGCGCCAAGAGTCAGAGTCAACTGGACAGCAACTAAGGGCCATAATAGTAACTTTGTATTTCTTGAGTAAAGCATTCCACGTCTCTGGATTTCACCTTCTCCACTATAAAAGGAGGTAGACAGCTATATGAACTAAGTTTTCTTTATAGTCAGAAATAACAAAAATTCTGTCCTATGATTCGAGTGATTTATTGGTGTATAGGCTAGCAAATTCTTTTATAAATAAGTTCAAAAAACCATTCATTTCCAAGTCTCAACATCCAATCAAAAAGTTCAACATCGAAAAATAGTTTTTTTTACAAGTTATTCAATACAGCAGTACAAATTAGGGCCCAATGAACAAAATTAAAGTGCAGTTAACAAAATAAGCTTTTGCTGTTATATGCAGACAAGCAAACACATCTACCAATGTGTTCGCAACAGTAACATAATTAAGACTTCTGTAATACAAATTTAGTATGTAAATAATTCTGATTTATTATTTTTCCAATTAGCCTCTTTCATCTTTATAAGCAATTTACCACTAAATCCAACTAGAACTTCTAATATTAAAATTCTTTCAAAAAAGCATACTGTCTACCAATTAAATCCCGTTACCCAATAAAGAAAAGTTTAATGTGATACCACAAACAATGCTCCAATGTTTCCATACCACTATTAATATCTTCACCCATAGTGGAAAGGTGTTCAGAACAACTGTATAGTACCTGTGAATGAAGTTTTCTGTGGAGTTCTGAAAATAATGCAACATCTGCTTCTCTTCTCTGTCGAACAACTGAAAGGTTAGAAAACAAACTAAGCATGTATATCACACACTCTGAAATCCACTGTCATGATACTATTCTACCACCAGCAACGGGCAGCCTGACCCGCTGAGAAGAATCCTGGACTCAAGAGTCAGGAGACGTACATGATCAGTGACTACGGACACTACTAGGATGCCCTCAAGGAGTTTATAGGAAAATTAACCAAGATAATAAAGATAGTGAAATCTTTTAAATTCTGTACATAAATATTAGTAAGAGTGAGGAAAACTATCACCTACTTAACAATACCGGCTACCTGGAGGGAGAGATGGGAACTGAAAATAGTTTTCAAACCCTCAATTCAAATAGTAGTTATAAAATATTATGACCATGTATGACAGCTTCTTTGACTTAGACTATACTTCCGAAACATTTTGCTGCCATATACAGCAACATTTTGTCTTTAGTATAAAATGTATTAATTACTATTTCAAAATAAAACTCAAAATATTTAATTTTCACCCACTAAATCATTTTACTAATAAATGAAGGTAGAACAATGTCTTTGGAATGATTCCAACTACATTTATACTTATTTGAAGGTGGCTGTAGCAAATGAAGAAGCCGCTGGGTAATACAAACTGTTAACATGCTTGGCTGCTAACCACAGGTGCCTTAGAAGGCCTGGTGATCTACTTCAGAAAAAATCAGCTACTGAAAACTTTACGGAGTACAGTTCTACTCTGAAGCACAGGGATCGACAGGGGTCGGAATCTACTGGATGGCAGCTGCTACCGCAGCAGATGAAAAGTTCACATTATTTATTTATTTTTGTTCCATGAAAAGACAGAAACCACAGATTTGAAGTTCCGTGAGTGAGTACACTCTTACTTTCTCACATTTACAAAAACACTGAGCAGACTTCCCTATACATACTTGTCTCTCCAAGAAATTCTTCCTTAAATCTACTAAAACAGGTACCACTTTCAAAGGCTAAATTATAACTTCAATAGTTTCCAATGAATCTTTGTGTTTATTCCAGTTTAGCGTATGACTTTATCTTATCAGCCAATCCCATCTAGCCTTAAATGTTCTAACTCACTTGCAGAAAGATAATGACTGACTCTAAGGGCTCTGAGTGGCTCAAAGGGTTAAACAATGGTTAAGGGCTTGGCTGCTAACTGGAAGGCTGGCGATCAGATCCACCCAGAGGTGCTTCAGAAGAAAGGCCTGGCGATCTACTTCTGAAAGAGCACAGCCACTGAAAACCCTATGGAGCACCGTTCTACGCTGAAACACGTGGGGTCGCCAAGAATTGGAACTGACTCAACAGGAACTGGTTTGGTTTTGTTTTTTTTTTTTGTTAACTGACTTTATAGCCAACACTTCATATTCATCAGCTAGGAACGGATATCCTGGTATCATGTACTAGATATATAAATCATATACCAGAGATTACATAATCACAATCATATTTGTACTTTCAACTATTCGTTTATAAAGTTAAAGCTATCTCTAAAATGTACTCCTATGAGGTACATTTACCAAAACTAATGCCATTAAAATTTAATATAATTCACTACCTTTGAAACATGTAAATACACTCCAAATAAACAAAACCATAAAAATAAGCAAGTGTCTTTCCTCCGCTACCACTAAGGTGCTTGGTTCTTCTGAGGAAGCTAAGCCCACCGAGAGCCGAGGCCCTCTCTTCATCCAGCAACTAGCACCAGGCAGCAGCACCAGCCTAGCACCTGTCCACACAATGGCCTGGCTCTGAGCTAACCTGCGTCTACTTGGCCCTCATCCTGCATGACAAGATGACAGCCACAAAGAAGACCAATGCCCTCATTAAAGCAGCTGGAGTCAATGGTGAACCCTTTCTGGCCTGGCTTGTTAGCAAACAGCGGGAGCCTCTCCGACTATGTGGGGGCTGGTGGACCTGCCCCAGCATCAGGTCCTGCACCAGCAGGCGGCCCTGTCCCCTCCACCACTGCTATGCCAGCTGAGGGGAAGAAAATGGAAGTAAAGAAAGACGCTGAGGAGTCCAGTGACCCTGATACAGGCTTTGGTCTTCTTCACTAAACCCCTTTTGAAACACGTTGAACAAAGAAGCTGAACTCTTAAAAAAGTGAAGTTCTTTCTGTGGAATGAAACTGACTCTAATTAATACATATAATAGTCATAGGACAATAAAATAATTGTAAATGATTAATCAATCAGATTAAGAATGAACCTAGAATATTTATAAACAGATGACGTTTCATTCTACTGGACTGCAAAACAAATCTTGAGTTACAAGTACCCTGTCAATGGGAAAAACTAAGAAACGAAAACTGCTGTATTTGCTGTCACACATGATCACTTTTGTCATTTGTTTCAAATATAAAACATGTTAGCATTTCATACCTGAAGTCAGCAGTATAAAAAAAAAATACTGTGCTATTCTAGAGGGCAAAACTACTATAACTCAACTGAGCTAATATACCAACAACTATAATAAAACTTCAAAAACGTTAAAATGTGAAAAAAATATTTCTAAGAATTAATGAAGGATGACTGACCAATGGTGACCGTTACATGAGAGTACAATTAATAATGTTCTATCAACTACAACTGTCAACAGCAGAGGTGGATCCTTAGGGAGGTGGCGCTTACTGGAGGTGCTCAAGAGAAGCTGGGGGAACACCTGCTGGGCATGTGGCAGACGAGGTACACTAAGTCAATACATAACAGGCTGTACTTCAGAAACGCAGACTACACACAGGAAAAACACATTGTACCTAGTTAGTCTCTTCTAAAAAAAAATTCCAAGAATTTCCTGAAATATTCACTGCAACAACATAGCTGTCAGTTCTTAAATCTGATTTTAGACAAATTTTACTTTTAGCTGCTACGCATATGTGTAAATGTTCACGATGAGACCCTGAACTGTAAATGTGTAACAGGAACCATCCGGAGCATAAAAGTTTAATGCAGTACAGAGCAGGTGGGCCTCTCAGTAACAAACGAACATGGAAAATGGTTCAGAATTCAAGGAGAGGGTCCACTGCTGAATTTGTGTGTGCTTTACTTTGTATATTCTCAACAACAACAAAATAAATAAAATTTTAAAGAAAGAGAGTGCAGTGTTCTTATGGTCACAGATTTACAGACATGAAAGGGAAGTAAGTTCTTACAGGCTAGCAGCAGGATTGCTGTTTTCGGGTATCGAGCTGATTTAAATACTGTTTTTATTCCTACCTTACATAACTCATGCACACTAAGTAACATCAAAAACCGGAACCATATCAGCAAATAAATCATCTCAAACTTACGTTACTTATCAAGTCCCAACGGTGCAAAGGCAACTAGAGCGGGATCTAATTACATGGCACAGCAATCAATTCCTATCATGCAGCTGACTCACTGTCAGCTCAGTTACACGTCTCTGAGATAGGATATCAGTACAGACTATTGGCCAAATACAGTTTACTAATCCAACAGCTGAGTGTTGGAAAACTCTGCCATAAGAACAGATCACCTAGAAGGTATCATTACAAGTTTGCTAAAATGCTCAGAGGTTAGGGCATTGGGGAGCTTGGCAGCTAGGCACCAGCAGGGAAAATGTATAGTCTTCAGAGCAGGTCCCACCTCCGTCAGCAGAGCTCGGTCATACGTTCCCAGAGAACTGTGAGGAATATGGAGTTGGCCACTGGGGGAAAACAACCTTCAACTGGGACTACAGCAGTTCTCTCTCCTATGTGGCTCCCTATACTCAAAGCCAAGCTTCCCTTCCCACAGAAATTCCAGAGGTAAAGAGAGGCAGTAAAGCCCTAGGTTATGCAATCACATAATCCATCAATAAACCATTTGCTAATAAATGGAATCACTGCCAATGTCAAGAAAAGTTTTCTTCTCTAAGGAATTAACATTTTTAAAAGCTTTAAATACCATTTTAGAATTAAAATGTTCACGTAACAAGGAAGTTCCAAAGAACTAGACGTTTGGACGTTGACAACAGAAGCAGTATTTGCCTCACTTACAGTTTTATTTTTACTAGTAAGACAATATTCTATGTTATCTCATCAAAAAGTGCAGAATATTAAACACTGTACCACATTTTAATGCAAACAGCACACTCGTTATACTTTTTGGCCAACCGAACAACCCCCTCGCGCGTTATTCTCCTAGGCGCGCTGTGCGCATTACGGGTGTGGATGCCATTATTTACACAGGTGTGTTATTTGCGAAAATACAGTAAATCATAAGAGAAGGAGAAAGTTATATTAAGCCCTTTTATCTTCCTCATACTCTTAACCAAATCATGTTTTTACAATAGTATTTAAAATAAACCTCGTCTGCTATGTTCTAACAAAGGACAAAACTGAGTTGCCATTTTTAAGAGCACTTACAGTTGAAATGTGCTTGGTAACTACACACACACATTCTTAAGCTCTGACAAGTTTAGGAATCCAACAAATGACATATTTTTTAAAAATACGTACGTTCTTTCTTGATTTTCTCAGCTACTAGAAATTCATCTCTTTCAACAGTGGGGGCAAAGTTGCTGCCAATAACCCGCACAGCGTACTGGAACTGTTGGGCTGCATCAGCTGGAAGAAAACACTATGATTTAACAACTCTGACAAAATTAAAGATAAACAAAAGGATTTAAATTATTACCTATCAAGGTAAGTTTAAATTACTTGAAGCTTCTCGATCTGAACCCACCAGCTGCTCTGCAGGAGAAAGATGTGGCAGTCTGCTTCCGTAAAGATTTACAGCCTTGGAAACCCCCTGGGCACTTATACTCTTCCCTCCAGGGTCGCTAGGAGTCGAAATCAACTTGACAGCAGTGTTTTTTTATTTTTTTATTTTTTAAAGACTTCTTCAATTAAGGGTTTTTAAAAAGTAAGGCATAAGCCTACAAGAACAAACAATGCAAAAACAACAGCAAAGAGACACCAACAAAATGTTAGAAAAAGGAAAGCAGATGAATGAGTGGTAACTGATTTAAGGGGACTGTGAAAACTAAAAGCTAAATGCTGGTGTAAAATGGGCAAAAGAGAAGTGGGGAGACAAAGCCAAGAAGAAATGCAATTCTCACTACGAAACCCCAGAGAGGCTTAGGACATGAAGGAACTTGATATCACTATAAATGAGAAATTCTGCCAGTGGGACAGAAAAAGGAGGACTGGCTGGAAATGAAAACCATTAGCCTCCTCAATGCCCTAACCTCAGGCACACAACCAGACAACTATCTATCCCCCCACCCAAGTCAACCAAAGCACATCTGGATGGAACACTGGGCACAGCAGAAGGACGTTAAGGAAGAGGTTAACAGACTGCACCTAAGGACCTCAAGCACATCTTCCTGGAACACTGGAGTCAGTATTCCTCGGCAGGGAAACTGAACAGTCCAGCGGAAAGGAGATGCAAAGACTGATGGATGGGATCCTCAAACAGATAGGTCCCTACCCAGTTACTCCACAGAGAAGCTCATCACTTGACAAACTCTGCCCTAGCACACAGACCTTCTAAGTCAACCTCACCCTAAACCAGGGCTGCAAACTGGTTCTGTCCACTTAGATCCCCTGCTGAGGATGTGCGTTTCCACCCCAGGTATACTGAATCAGAATCTAGATTTTAATAAGATCCCCAGGATCAAGTTACACATCTAGTCAGAAAATGTCAGACTAAATAACAAAACAAGACGCAACTATATGCTGTCTACAAGAAACCCACTTGAAACATAACGCTGAAGGCAGCTGTCTTAGTCCTCTAGTGCTGCTATGACAGAAAAACCACAAGTGGATGGCTTTAGCAAAGAGAAATTTATTTCCTCACAGTAAGGTAGGCTGAAAGTCCAAATTCAGGGCATCAGCTCCAGGGGAAGGCCTTCTCTCTGTTGGCCTTCTCATCAATGTTCCCCCAGACTAGGAGCTTCTCCGTGCAGAGACCGCAGGTCCAAAGGACGCGCTCTGCTCCTGGCACTGCTTTCTTGATGGTATGAGGTCCCCAAGTCTCTGCTTGCTTCCCTTTCCTTTTATCTCTTGAGAGATAAAAGGTGGTGCAGGCCACACCCCACTCCCTTTACACTGGATCAGGGGTATGACCTGGGTAAGGGTTGTGTTACAATCCCACCCTAATCCTCTTTAACATAAAATTACAATCACAAAATGGAGGCCAACCACACAATTCTGGGAATCATGGCCCAGCCATATTGATACACACATTTTTGGGGGGACATAATTCAATCCATGACAGCAGCTTAAAAATAAAAGGACGGAAAAAATAGGTCATGCAAACACTATTCAGAACAGTTGTGGTGAGGATACAGAGTGACTGGAATCTCATACACTAATGGTGGGTATACAAAATGGTACAGCCACTCTGGAAAAGTTTTGCAGTTTTTTTAAAAAGATAAAGATACACCTACCATGTGACCTAGCAATCCCACTTGTAGGTATTTATTCTAGAAAATAAAAACTTATGTTATGAATGTTAACGGCAGCATCACTCATAATTGTCAAGAACTGGGAACAACCCACGTGTCCTTCGGAGAGTGAATGGATAAGTAAACTTGTTACATCCATGCCATGGAACATCACTCACACTAAACAGAAATGAACTGTTAACACACGCAACACCACGGACGACTCTCAAATGCATTTTGCTAAGTGAAAGCCAGCCTCCAAAGAGTGCACAGCATATGATTCCATTAACACGACATTCTGGGAAAGGCATATAGGAACGTGGAACAGACAGTGCTTGCAGAAGGGGAGGGAGGGTCTGACTACAAAACGGCAGTAGGAAGGAATTATTTGGCGATGTTGGAATTGTCATGTAACCTGTTTCTGGTTGTGGCACCAAGAATGTATGCACGTGTTTAAACTCCCAGAAATGTATACCTCTCCCCCAAAAAAGTGACTGCTACTCAATTCAAATTAAAAAAAAAAAAAAGCTGGAATACATATTAAAGAATCTTGCTGATATATGAGTGGGGCACCATGTCACCCTGCCTGGAAAGAAGGTCCTGAGACAAACAACAGAGTGACTGGTTGGCATACCACAGAAGGAAAACCCAATCATCGGACTCCTTTTCATCTCTCCTCCCCTCCCTGCCAAGCCACGTATTAAGGCGGGCAGAAGTAACAGAGATGGATGGTCACCTCCATTTGGAAGTGATAAATACAGAATCCTGGGTCACAGAAGTAAGGCAATGCCCCAGAGGGCTGTCAACACCAAGCCAGAATGGGACACACATAGGCCCAGAAAACTAGTAAGAGGTACCAAGCATGGAGGCAGATTCCACCAGTGTTACGACAGTCCCAGGTATTGGCCTCAGCAGCAGCTGCCAACCCTTCTCTCAGGTAAGCTACCCAAAATTTCAGAGACAGGTACTCTCAACTACAAAGATGAAAAATAAAACAAAAGGATAACCACATATTTGAAGTTAATCAGTATCATAAAAATCAACAAACTTAACAAATGGAAGAACTTAAGAAATCAAAATAAATGAACAAGCAGAAAAGAACTTCTGAATAACAATAACATCCTTAGCTACATAACGGAATGCAGCACACCCAACAATAAAATACTGTTGATAAAAAGGAACCAATTAATTTTGGGAAATGAAAATAAACGTTTGTGAAATGTTTTAAAAGTTCATTAAATAGGCTGAATAGCAGAATGGATATAAGTAAAGGAGGAATTAAATGCAAGCTGAAAAGTCAAACACAGCAAAAGGCAGGACGCTTAGAATTGATGGGGAAAAATTAGTGAAAGAAAAGCAAAAGTTCTGCATAATTTAAAAAAAAAAAAAGCAAGTCCTCAGATTGAAAGGATCACCAAGTATTAAGCCCAATAAACTTTCAAACCCCACACACAGACACATTATAGCAAAATTTCAGACCGTAAAAAATAAACAGATAATCCTAAAAAGCTGCCACATGTAACTTCAAGGAGTAAAAATTAGATTAACATCAGACTTCTCATCAGTAATACTAGAGGCAAAAAGACAGTGAAGGAATACTTCCGAAGTGGGCAGAGTGAAAATAACTTTAGACCAAAATTTCTACATCTAACTGATGCAGTATGGGGATAGAAGAGTGAGAAGAAATAAAGACATTTTCAGACTATTATGCAGTTATTTAGAAAAGTTGCATGTAAAAATGATTTCCCATACTTGAGCAAGTCCTGTTGACTTTATTTCTAAAAGTAAATACCAAATACAGTCACTCTACAGCTACCATCTGATTGCAATAAGTCTCCTAGGTAGCTGGTCATCCTGCTTCTACTTTCTGCCCCTTTAAATTATCCACACAGCAGTCAGTGATCTTTCTAAGATATAATTAATTTCATCGTTCTGCTCAAACCCTCTCACTACACTCCATAAAATCCCCACTCCTGGCCATGGCCTACATGAACCGGCCCCTAGCTAAACCAGTGCAGTCAATTCTGACTTGTAGCGACCCCTTGTGGACTGCTTCACCAATACCATCTTCCACCTCTCTCAGTCTCGCTCACTAGACACCAGTCACATTTTGCATTCTTGTTGCTCCCTGAACACACCAAGTTCATTCCCAAGTCAGAGCCTTAGCACACTCTTCTCACGTACATATTCCAGGACTCACTCCATCACTTCATCCACTTGTTTACTCAAATGTCACCTCCTCAGAAATGCCTTCCTATTGAAAGCACACACATACACACACACACACACACACACATACACACACACACACACACACACACAATCTTAATCACCAATCTATCAGCACAGTGAGTGTTCAATAAATATTTGGTGAATGCATACATATGAAAAAGAAACATCAAAAACAAATATTCTAAAATGCTTTTGTACTTCCATAGTATTGAGGATAGTTTTTTTTTTCTTCCTATATTTATCCATACTTTTCTCAAATTTTCTACACTGAGTATATATTAATCTTACAAACACTATAAAAAGTGTCATTTATAAGACTCTTCATTTTAGAGGGTTGCTTGTATACCTAGTCTAGTTAAAAATTATTCTTAAATTACCATAATACTGAGTTCTACAAAACTAGTACATTAACAACCTATTCAAGTACATCATACAAATACTCCCACTCCAAAAGTTCCGTAAGCTTTTGAATGTTCTCCTACCACAGCTTTAACATTCCCCAGCACCACGGACCCCAGAATACCCTCCTCTTCCTGTCTCTACATTTTCTCCAGACTTTTAGTGTAAATACTGTTTCACTCCCTCCTCTTCAGCCACATTTGCATCTTCTTATCTGGATACCAACCACATTTCTAGGCCATCTTTCTTGCCAATTACAAAATACCTGAAAAATCCATCTGTTCTTTCTTAAACCAAATCTACCTATCCTATGCATCAAAGGTAGAAGGACAGAATCCAGACGAATAACGAAATACAGCAGTGGCAATTACTCTGTCTGGTGAGCTTACCATCAAAGACTAAAACGGGAAATATCAAACAACGTCAACTACAAATTTCTAGTTTAACACTCCCAAAATATTGTTCACTTGTTAAAGTAAACTAAACTCAATCAAGAACTCAACAAATAACTCTTAAGCACCTACTATGCGCTGAACACGGGAAGGT